ACACTACACAGTAATTAAACAACAGTTAAATATCTCAGTATATACAGTAATGTTGTACAATTAAAAAGGTATAATGAATATAAGCTGTCCTATCTTGATAAAAGATGATCCATCACCTAGAGAAGGAGTAAGACTTCATTAGTGTACATCAAAAACCATCTCACTATAAATAGAACAGTAAAAACACTAATATACAGCACTTAAAACAGTATTGTACTGTATTTTAAACAGTACTTTACCTAATTGTACACGTTCAGTAATACAATAAAACTCATAAGCTTATACAGTAGTTATACATACACAATGCAGTATTGATCTATAGTGTATTTACCTAGGTAACTACAGTTGTAATGGATAAGGTAAGCCTCGGACAGGCCAGGATTGAGTACAGCAAGTCCCCAATGATAGTGAAAGACGGCCCGTCGCCCAAAAATATCGAGAAAGAAGGTCCTTTAATACTTTAAGTCCCAGCCAGAGTCAATTTGTTACCAAGAATAAGCCACACATCTTCACTACAATGTAGGATGGGCCATAATCATTAACCACACCTACCAATTAACTCAGACCTCCTCGGCTCGAGCAGCTTTCAGGTTGGCCCATTCATTTATACAGGGAGATCTGCGCATGCGCAGTAGAAAATACCGGGAACAGTTTACACACCACACAGTAATTACTAATTAAAAAACAGCTAAATATCTCAGTACAATTATTATACAGTAATGTTGTACAATTAAAAAGATATAATGAATATAAGCTGTCCTATCTTGGTAAAAGATGATCCATTGCCTTGAGAAGGAGTAAGACTTCATTAGTGTACATCAAAGTCCATCTCACTATAAATAGAACAGTAAAAACACTAGTATACAGCAGTTAAAACAGTATTGTACTGTATTTTAAACATTACTTTACCTAATTGTACACGTTCAGTAATACAGTAAAACTCATAAGCTTATACAGTAGTTATACATACACAATACAGTACTGATTGATCTATAGTGTATTTACCTAGGTAACTACAGTTGTAATGGATAAGTTAAGCCTCGGACAGGCCAGGATTGAGTACAACAACTCCACAATGATAGTGAAAGATGTCCCGTCGCCCAAAGACATCAAGAAAGAAGGTCCTTTAATATTTTAAGTCCCAGCCAGAGTCAATTAATTAACAAGAATAAGCCAGACATCTTCACTACAATGTAGGATGGGCCATAATCATTAACCACACCTACCAATTAACTCAGACCTCCTCAGCTCGAGCAGCTTTCAGGTTGGCCCATTCATTTATACAGAGGGATCTGCGCATGCGCAGTAGACGATACCGGGAACACCCACTAACAATCAATTCAAAGATGGTACAAATATACAGCACCTTTAAAAATCATAAAAAATCCAAACTTGATCGGAATCAGCTCCACTTCTCTACACATCATAAGTACATGTATATGCATCACAAAATGTAATAAAACTGGGGAATTTTTCACTTGTCAATTTTATTGAAATTTCCCAAAAATCCCAGTACTATAGTACAGGGACTTTTGCCTGATTTTATAGCAACTATAAAAAATTCAAACTTTATCGGAATCAGCTAAACTTCCCTACACTGCATATGTACATGTATACGCATCAGAAAATGTAATAAAACTGGGGAATTTTTCACTTGTCAATTTTATTGAAATTTTTCAAAAATCCCTGTACTATAGTACAGGGACTTTAGCCCGATTTTCATAGGCGTATTTGGACCCGGGCAAGCACGGGCTTTGCCCGGGTAGAAATTTGCAGCCATAATTATATTCATTGGTTATTGTATTATACACAGTATTGTAACAGTGGGAGGACTGTTAACCACAATAGCTAGCACTGTTAACCACAATAATTTAGCAGGCACCTACATGTTCCAAGTGTTTATTTAAGCACCAGGGCAGTTATAGGTCTTAAATTTTAAATGCATTTGCCCAAATTGCCCAAAATCAATAGTTAAAGGTGTAAATAATTAATTAAATGTATGAATAATTAATTAATTATATGAATAATTAATTAAGTGCCCTAGTAGCTGGAGAAGGCTAGATACGCCTATGCCGATTTTTGAGCAACTATAAAAAATTCAAACTTCATCGAAATCAGCTCAACTTCCCTACACTGCATAAGTACATGTTTATGCATCAGAAAATGTAATAACACTGGGGAATTTTCTACTTTTCAATTTTTGTGAAATTTTACAAAAATCCCTGTACTATAGTACAGGGACTTTTGTCCAATTTTTGAGCAACTTTGAAAAATCATAAAAAATCCAAACTTGATTGGAATCAGCTGAATCTTTCTACCCAGCATAAGGACATCAATATGTATCAGAAAATGTAATAAAAATTTGGAGTGATTTTTTGGCCATTTTTGCAAAAATGGTATGTTACTTACAGCAAGTTGGCCCATTCCTTTACAGAGGAGGTCTGCGCATGTGCAGTAGACACCACTCAACTTTCTGCGGATGCACAGACGCATTGCGCAATCTCCTTAATTAATTTATTAATAATACATTCTTTTAAGTAATAACAACACTACTGCCATCATCACACCTAATAGTTAGCTAAATAGTCACTGTTATTGTTATAATAAACTTGATACTACACTAAAATACAGGTAATACAGTTTACACACCACACAGTAATTAAACAACAGCTAAATATCTCAGTATATACAGTAATGTTGTACAATTGAAAAGATATAATGAATATAAGCT